CATCAGACACATCCCCATCGAGAGGCATCCTACAAAATGTCTGACTAGTACCCTCCGAAACTATCAAGGTCATCAAAATCAGCAAAAGGTAGAAACATACAAATGTAAGATGCTAATAGGGGAAACTGAATGTGGGGTATATAGGAACTCTGTACTATCCTCACTATTTTTCTGTAAATCTAACTGTTATAAATATTAAATTCACTAAAAATCATAATGTGGTTAATATTTATGATGCACTCACTATATGATGAGCACTTTTTATGCATCAACTCTCAGACAAACAACGTGGTCCAGCTGGAATCCTAAGTTCTGGGCACTGAGTTAGAAAGTCAGACTGAGTTGCAACAGAGGGATAAAACTTTAGCAAGTCACTAATATCTGGGATTAGCCAGATAAACAAAATAAAACAAAAACTCCTCCTTAGTCATCTACGACACGCCATATTAGGCAAGGCAAGCTGCAGAGGGACAAATAAAGAAAAACACAGCAATCAGAGATATATGGGCAAACTGGCAAATAAGAGAACACTCCTCTTGTCTTTTTCTGAGCAATGTAATATTTTTTCCATTTTTTTCTAGCTCAGTCTTTTTGGTGTGTCTGTACTAAATGAAGCTTGCTTGGCATTGGGTGACAAAGGTCTGCATTCCCTTTCCATGAATGCCATCTTGAGCTGTGTGTGCAGTGTGTTGGTGGGTACACTAGGTCCTAATCCCCAAATTGAGGCCCAGTGTTACCCCAGTTGCAACACAATTATCCATACAATCAAAAAAATAGATATTGATTTCTTTTTGCCAAGATTTTGTGCCTCAAGTCCCATTTTCAGCTGAAATTTGGATAACAACAAGTTTTGACAGCCTTTGGTGAAAACACAAGAGAAAGAAGTTTAAGACCCCCAGATGAGTGGAGTGCTATAGATATTTTCATATGACACTGGAAGGTCATTAAGGAAATATATATGCCAAGCCGCACCACCGATTTCAAGATATTGACTCTAATCGAGATGTCAATATTCTAGTCACACCAGAAGAGTTTCACCTCAACTAATGTCTGCTGACACATGACACTTTGCCTGCCCTTTAAACCATTTCTATCTTTGCTTTAGGCAAAATGCTTTCTGTCTTCATTGATATATAATTGTCAAGTACTTGATTCTAAAACCATAGACTTAGCAGAACCAAAAAAAAAAAAAAAAGCAAGCAAGAAAGTAAGTGCTGGTTTTCATTGGAGTTCTGTCTGCCTTTGAAGCTTCATATTTCAGAAGCTGAAATAGGAACCTCCAGTGGTTTTGATTATAATCATTGCTATGTGGTCCTTTCGTCTTCCAGGGCAACTCATTTAAGACCATGTGTGCGACTGGCTGAATAGCACTGATTAGTCAATGGATATGACATATCAAAGCCTAGAGGTCCTTCAGCCCCCAGGCCCTTTCCAGGAGGGGGAAGAACATCCTCTGGGCCGGGCACATTCACCCTTTGGATGTGTTAATATAAAATACTTTCGTCACTCCAATTTCCACTCATGTGGATATTTTCCTGGCTCCGTCTCAGTGACCCGATTCTCTAATTTTCCCCTCTCTGAGAGCATACTTTTTCGTAAGTTATTTTTTCTCTGAAATCCACACCACCTCCCCTCCCTTCCCTTTTGATTTCTTATTCAGCCTGGAAACTACCTCACCAGTTGTAATTAGCCTGAATTCTCGAGGGGGGTAAGGGGGCTCTCTTCAGGAAATAACTGGAATAAAGCAAGATTGCTTCTAAGAGTAAAGAAGAAAAACCCAGGCCCATGTAGGCTGATTAAATCTCTCTTTGCTTTTTCATCTATTGTAGAGCACCAAACTCTGATGAGGGCCTATCCTTCATGTTATTTTGTAAACTCGAGTGACCCACACCACACGTTCTCAGCTTGTTAGGAGACTCTCTAATATACTTCCTTGGACCAAGTGAAGAGCAGAAATAGACAATTTTTAAGTGCCAAGTTAGTAGCTTTCTATGTTTTTCTATCTCAGTCTTTTCTGTGTGTCTGTACTAATGATGCTTGCCTGGAGTCAGGTGACAAAGGTCTGCATTGCAAGCCTTGTATCCTTTTTTTTTGGTAAGGAACATTGGCCCTGAGCTAACATCTGTTGCCAATCTTCCTCTTTTTACTTAAAGAAGACTGGCCTGAGCTAACATCTGTGCTAATCTCCCTCTATTTTGTATGTAGGATGCCACCACAGTGTGGCTTGATGTGAGGTGTGTAGGTCCACACCTGGGATCCAAACCTGCAAACTCCAGACCACCATTGAAGCGGAGCGCACGAACTCAATCACTACGCCACTGGGCTGGCCCCACGTTCCGATTAATGTCATCTTGAGCTAAGTTTGCAACATATTAGTGGGTCCATTAGGATCTTATAAATATTATTTCTGTGAAAGAATTATAACGTTTTCTATGTTTTTTACAAGTCAATTTGTCATATTTTTCAATAGTAATAGTATGGTGCATACCTGCTCTACTCTGATCAGTTCTAATTATATTATCTCAATTAGTCACCACACTAGCCCCAAAAGTTGTTGCTGATATCCCCATTTTACAGACGAAAAAATCTCAAGCTTTGGATTAAGTACAACAACTTGCACAAGGGAGACGTAGTTAGCAAGTGTCAGACCTGAGGTTCAAACGCAGGGCTCTTTAGCTCCGAGTCTTTACAGGAACCACTCTACCAAACTGCCTTCCAAAAACATGCACTGCAAGCTGGGAAACTATTGAAGAGGGAGAGAAAGAGGCAGAAACTTTTTTAGAAAAGAAAGGAAAAAGTTTCTTATTTGTGCATAGCATGGGGGTGATGGTGGGGAGGACGGAAGGCTGGCTGTTTAGAATTGTTAAAACCTAGGGGCAGGCGAGGCAGAGAACACCCTGGCTTACAGAGGGCTAATTTAATACAGGAAAGCATGTTCTCTAGTTCCCGTTTCCAATCAGGGTTACAGGCATTGCCATGTTTAAAAACCAGCTGAATCTGCTGCAAACTCTATGTCTAATCGCCAAGAAGTCGCTGAGCTGACATACAATCCCCTTTATCAATTGGTGGTCATTATTGATTTGGACAAGATATTGACTTCTCCCTTTTAGCAAAGAAAGTGTAAAATTCTGGTCTCCTAACAAATAAAACTCCATAAACTTTCTCTTGATCTTTTGCTAAGTGGAAAAATGAGGAGAAATATGATGACAGAGACCTACTTCTTCATGTTTACACATCCTCCACCGCATGCTAAGACCATATTTTATTCCCTTTTATGTGTTTTTCAAATTCTATAATGAATATCTATATGATTATAATTAGTAGATACCCATTTCAAAATCTCTGTTGATGTGTATTTTGTTGTTAATGCCATGGAGTCGATTCTGACTCCTATCGCCCCTGTGCACAGCAGCGCAGAACCCTGCCTGGTCTGTTTGCACCATCCTCTCACCTTGCCATGCTCTATCAGACAGGGCTCTGCTGCCATTCACAGGCTTTTCATGGCCAGTTTTTTGGAAGTGGGAGGCCAGGTCCTTCTTCCTAGTCTGTCGCTGTCTGGAAGCTCCGCTGAAACCTGTCCACCATGGGTGACTCTGCTGGTATTTGAAATAGTGATGGCATAGCTTTCAGCATCACAGCAACACGCAGCTGCCACAGTATGGAAACTGGCAGAGGAGTTTCCTGATCAGGAGACAAACCCGGGCCACAGAAGGGAGGGCCAGATTTTAACCACTAGACCACCAGGATTTGTATTAGTTTATCAAAATTAATGAAGATAATGTGCACTTGCCATTTGATTGCTTTATTGATATATACCCTCTTCAGATCAAAGACCTTCAGACCAACAGGCTGATTAAACAGCCTGTTAGACTAACACCATGAGCACCAGGACCTGCTCCCTGACCTTCACAAGGTGATTATTTCGTGTGTCCAAAGGATAACTATGGTTGCAACTTCTTGGCTGTATCATTGATGAAGCTCCCGATATTTTCCAGAGCTGAGATTTCAGAGCTTCTACAGCTGAGAGTTGGCCGGCTGGCTGGAACAGAATCCCTAAGAGAGGCGTAGGGGAAATCACCAGAGACCGTGGTCACTGGTCAACAGATACTCAGAAACCTATGGAAAATGACATTTCATTTTACCTTTGAAGTTCCTGTCAAGATCATTCACTTTTGTGACCACGGCACTGAGACTTTTTGTAATTTCCCATAGCTTAAGGGCTTTTCATGGTACATTAAGTATCTATGGTGTTTAAAAAGCATTACAGCCTATTAAATCTAAGACCCACTGAATAGGAAGCTCGAAAGGCTCAAAAGGGTAACTCACAAGAAGAGTTTTCTATAAGGTTATTCCTCGGTAAAAGAGAAAAAAGCATATGCCCGTTATGAAGAGAGCAGGAATTTGGGCCCTTGTGGTCATTGATAAGTGGAATATAAAGGGGAGAAAATTCAACTACCTCTACCCAATTTCCTCTGTTGCGTGTTTTTGGCTTCTTATAGCAAATGTGTCTGTGGCGTTACATATTCAAGATGTTAGGAGTCATTGCCTTAGAATTCATGACTTCTTACTTTCCATGCCAAAGCCTGACCACACCTGAGTGTCCATACCGAGAAAGAGACCTTCTCATTGCAATAAAAACAGCTTCAGCTGGGGACTGCTTGATTTTTCTTGGCTTTGGTCTTATGAAATGACTCATTCAACACTTATAAAAACTCCCCATATTGGATAAATAAAATACACCTGAAACACTAATTGCCAATAAGTAATTGCACTAACTAATCCTTACTCACTTGAGATAGAAGGATTGCAACATTGTATCCTCTGAAATGAAGCTACCTCCTTTTTTTTTTTTTTTTTGGTGAGGAAGATTATTGCTGAGCTAACATCTGTGCCAATATGTCTCTATTTTATATGTGGGATGCCACCGCAGCACGGCTTGATGAGCAATGTGTAGGTCTGTGCCAGGGGTCTGAACCTGTGAACCCCAGGCTGCCCAAGCAGAGCATGTGAACTTAACCAGTACACCACCAAGCCAGCCTCTTTTTTTAAAAAATGAACCCTTGGAAAATCACCGTTTGACTTCTGGACACAGTGTTTCAGACTTCAGTGTTAATTTTATTAGGCAGTATAATCATAAAGTCGCTTGAATCATCATGTAACTATTTGTGCTTCTGGACCTTACTAGTCATGCCTCTAAGAACTGAATGCTCAAATCATCATTCCAACAAAGAGAGAATTAATCAACCCAACATTATTCAGACGCCAAAGTAACTCGCTGGAGGGATTCTCATTTTTAAAAATGTAGTCTTAAAATAAAGAAAAAGGAAATCGGAATTTTTGGAGGCTTCTTATAACAATGATGAGTTGGTATCTTTGGTAATGCAAAAGGAAGTAGAGAGCCACATTTTGTGGAATCTTCTACCAATTAGAGTCTACAGGATGAGGGCAAATTTCCCAGTTCCTCCAGGGCTTCCTTATCTTCTTTAGCAAAATTGAACTAGTTCTACTGAGAGATCCCACCATACGCTATGGAGAATAATTTATGTACAGTTTAAAAACAAAAAGAGTAAAACGTTCAGGGTATACACCCAAATATCTACAGTGTCACAACACTATACAAAAATCTACAGTACCCATCCTCTCCCCCTTTTTAAATCCTGCTTATTACTTTTTCTCGTCTAAATGGTACTCATACTCCTTTATACGAAAACTTTCTTTCTTAGGTTACAATTTCATATTCATCTAACAAACATTTAATGAGTACATAATTTGTGCCTAGTGTTATGTTGTGTAGAGGATGATGAACATGGTTCAGGATTCAAATTGCTCGTGGGTTAGTTGAGGAGATAGAAATATAAGCCAATAATTATAACTGTGAAAGTGTTATAAGAGTATAAAGTTTTATGGGCTTCCAGAAGAAGGAAGGTACGATTTGGGCCTCTCTCGTGCTCTATTGTGTATACTCCATCCTGGCTCTCATCCTCACCACTCCTCCAACTGTTCTCATCAAAGTCAACAATGACTCCCATGTTGCTAAATCTGGGTCACGTCCTAGTCCTCATCTTGCTCAATATGTTAGCAATATTTCACACAGTTGTTCATTTCCTCCTTCTTGAAAGACTTTCTTCACTGGCTCATGGGAGGTCACTCTTACTTCATTTCCTGTCTCACTGGCCACTCCTTTGAAGTCTTCTCTGTTGGCTCTTCTTCATCTTCCCAACTTCTAAACATTTGGAGTGCTCCAAAACTCAGTCGCTGACCTTGATGCTCCTCTCACTTCTCTGTAAGTGATCCGACTGCATTTCAGGGCTTTATATATTGTCTATTGCAGATAACTCCCAGATACCTCCCTCTACCCCTGACGCTCCCTCTGAACTCCAAAGCATTTTTTTATCCAACTGCCTACTTAACATTTCCACTTAGTGGTCCAACAGGCATCTCACACACAACATTATTAAAAAAAAGTCTTGATTATTCCCACCCAATCTGTTCCTCCTACAGTCTTTACCATCTCAATAAATGGGAACTGCATCCTTCCAGTTGCTTGGGTCAAAATTCTTGGCACTATCCTCAACTATTTCCTCTACTCCCTACCTTCTAGCTTTGCCTTCAATATATATTCAGAATCCTGCAACGTTTAACACCTCCACTCTTAGCACCCTGGACAACATTTGTCTCCTGGATTATTACAATAGCCTCTTATCAAGTCACTCTGCTTAATTCTTGACTCCCTACACTCTATACTACACATGCCTGTCAGAGTGATCTTATTAAATTGTAAAGCAGATCACATCACTCTTTTGTTCTCTACCCTTCGGTGATTTCCAATCTTATTTAGAATAAATATCCAAGTCCTTCCCATGGCCTACCAGGACCTAGAAAATCTTGTCCACACTACTGCTCTGATCTCATACCCCACCATTCTTTTCACTCTAACCACACTGGCCTCCTATCACTTCCTCCAATATATCAGGAGTGCTCTGCCTTGGGCACCTCGCACTTGCTATTCCCTCTGCCTAGAATGCTTTCCCTGCTGCCTGGTATCCACGTAGATTGAACTCGTGCTTTGTTTTCATCTCTGCTCTCATATCACCTCATCAAAGTGGCCTTCCTTGACCACTCTATTTAAAACAACATCATCATCCCCTTACCTTGCCTTATTTTTCTTTATCCTATTTCCAACTGGCATGTATGTATTTGTTGGCTACCTTTTTATTATCTGTTTGTTTCTACTAGAACCTAAATTCTATCACAGTAAAAATCTTGTCTGTTTTTTCACTCCTGCATCTCTAGATCCTAGGACAGTATCTAGCACATAATAGTCTTCCAATAAATAATGAATTGTGATGAATTAATTTATTTGAGCTCGAAGGAAAGGACAAAGTCTCCCAGGCAGAAGAAACCAGCACCTACAAAGAAATAAATTTGGTCTATCTGAAACAGGAGTTGGCAAACTACAGCCTGGGGACCAAATCTAGCCTACCCTTTGTTTTTGTTAGGAAGTTTTATTGAAATATAGCCATGCTCATTTATTCAAGTTATTATTTATGACTGCCTTTGTTCTACAAGAGCAGAGTTGAATAGTTGTGACAGAGACCATATGGCCACCGAGCCTAAAATATTTACTCTCTGGCTCTTTACAGAAAAAGTTGGCCAGCTCTTGGTCTGGAGTTGAGTGGAAGAATGGGTGAGGGCAAGCTGGAAGGGATATATATGAGTTTGGATGTCATATATATGCCAAGAGAGAGTGAGACAACGGATGCTTTTAGGCCAGAGAGTCCCTGAAAGGCAGGAACTATGTCTAATATAATTTGAGCACAAAAAGAGTCCTTAATATTTAAACCAGTTATCCCAGTGGCAGCTGCTGCCAAGACTCCAGCCTTAACGTCACTGCCATGTCTGGGGTTAGCTCTGGATATAGGAACCAAAACATAGTGAATAGTCATTTACTTCCCCCACCCTCCTGTACTAGTTGTTGGTTTCGAAATTCTCCCTCTCCTACAGTGAGTCTGGTACACACTGCCCCAGCAGAGTCCATTCCAGCCTCTAGATATCTGGCCTGAGCTCATCTCAAGATCCAGGAAACACGAGGTTGGTTCTAGGGTCATCCAGAGATTTGAGTCTCCTCAGATTTTTTGGTCCTACTTTAGGAAGCTTCTGGAACTTCAGAAACTTCTGAATCATTTCTATATAGGGTGACAAGCAAAACTCTAAATTTCCAGTGGTTTGACAGCTCATCAGGCCTTTTCCAAGGTCTCTAAACCATGTGGAACAGTTAGACTTCGCCACCGGGTCAGGTCTAAAGATTGCTGATCATCTTGCTTGGGATGCAAGCAAGATTGGATTTCACAAGAAAGCAGCCTTTCCCCTGCTGTCTTTGGTTCTTAGGATTTTAGTTCCAGCCAGACTCTAAGGAAGGGCAGGAGTAAAGTTTGAAGAAAAAAAAAGGGGAACAAATGTGTTCTGAATTTCACAGAACAAAGTGGAGCGCTGGTTTGTGGTTGTGCTTGGGCATGGACGCCCCCACCCCTCTTCCCTCTGAGAATGCAGTGGTGAAGTCTGGTCTGCTCCAGTAAAGCTGCAGCATTTGGGTTTAATTTGATGGATCCCAATGTGCCTGCTTTGGTTTGAGACTCAGTTCTGGCCTGACTTTTTTTGCCCATCCTTCAAGAGTGTATAAGTGGTAAGCCAAGTTTCCACTTGTATATACTGAGTCATTCAACTAGAAGTCCATTGCCCTTACAACAGCTCATGTTGTTTACTGGCTTCTGCCTTTAAAAATTCAAAGTATGAGCTAACTGAAAATTGATAGGTTATCATTTGAAGGAGGAAGTGGCAAATTCCAAACAGACAATAGTCTAGCAACAAGCAAAAGAAACAGAACTTTGATTTGTACTGTAGGCTTTAGGATCCACCCTTCTCTTGGCTTTCCAGCAGATGAGAAGGACCTCTTGTTTTGGTTTAATCCAATACTTCAATTTTTAGGAAGCAGCCAGATCAAGCTTTTTAGGCATTGTCCACCTGGGACGTGCTGAATTCATTGCAAGCTTCATTTTGTAGGAGTCGGTATCAGTCTATGGGGTGCTAGCTCAGCCCTTTGGAAAGTCACAGACGGAGGTGGCTCCAATGATTACATTAAGACCGTGGATACACACTGGCCTTGGGGATTTGGAGTGGAGCTTAATCAAATCTGGATTTGACATGTCACAGCCCACATCAAGGATTTCTACAAAGGAACATCAGAGCATTGCCCTCTCTGCTTTGGTTCTTAGCTCCTCCTCCTGAGTACCTGAACAGGCCTTGTGCTAATCTTGTTGATTCTTTGGCTGCATCTTGGTCCTGCTGCACAGCACTTGGGTCTTTTATGGGCCATAGCTTCTTCCAGTCAATGAAAAACCATTTATTTAGTATCTACCATGCTCCAGGGCACTGGGCTAGGATCTGGGATAAATATGATGGTGAACAAGATAGACTGTACCCTGAGGTGCATTCACAAATGTTACATATAGTTGGAGCTACAGAAGCCCAACTGTGGCCCAAAAGGGATGGACTATTGTTATTCATCCATTCCCTACCATGTACTAAAAGTTGATGCCTGCCTTTGAGGAGTTTAAAGTCCAGTCCAGTGGTTCTCAAACTATAGTCATCTAAGGAGCCCCACAGATGTCTGTTTAAATGGGAACAAGGTATCTGCACTTTTCATTGGCAGATATTTTCAAAGCAATTGTTCTTTGGACCATACTTTGAGAAATACTGATAACAGTAGCAGTGATGCACACACACAGATGTTAAAACAGCATCAGAAATGCTGCACCTGTCACAGTGGAGGCTCAAAGGTGGAAGAGCTCATCTCTGTTTGGGAGGCCAGAGGAGGCTTGCAAGATGAAGACCCAGATCTTGTAGAATGATTTAGGGTTTTATCAGGCAGAGAATGCCACAGGGGGAACACATGAGGGGGAGAGAGAATTCCAGGTAGGGAGGAGAGCAGGTGGAGGATGCCAAGGTGGAGAGAGCATACCTGTTCAGGTGCACTGTGAATGCAGAGCTGAGAGGGAGAGTGACAGAATACAATGTGGGAAAAGTAAGCTGGAGGTAGGGCATGGAGGATCTTGAAAGCCAACATAGGACTGAGAAACCATTAGTGAGAAATCATTTTGTAGCAGGGGAATAACGTGATCAAATTTGCATTTTTAGATGGATTACTCAGGTGGCAGTGTGGTGTTGGATAGGAAATAAACAATAAAGGAGGAGGGAATAGTTAGTATAGTTAAGTATAAAAGTAATAGGTTTGTTGTTAGGACATATGTGTAAAGCATTCCTTGGTTGTAAAGATAAGTATGGAAAGAAAGCTGAACCAGCAGCCACAGGAAGAGCAGGAAACACAGAGGAGCTGGGCTCCGGAACCTTCGCCTGGAGCTCCACCATTAGCTGTAAGCAGGCTCTCTCCCTGTACCTGCTTCTCACCTTTCTCTCCATTCATTCACTTCCCCACACCTTCTTCCAACTTAAATTTTCTGCTCTGTTAGGAATATTTACAGGAAAAGATGAAGGTTGAACATATGTGACAGAATAGAGTAAGTGTAGGAAGACCCCTTCTCCTCCCCTCTCATCAAGGCTGCCCTTTCACTTAGGGGGTGGCTTTGAACAAGGCCTTTTGCACACCAGGGAGCCATTTGTTAGGGGACCTTGAATTTATTTATACAATGACAGTCATTGGCTGTTTTGAAAAAATTATCTTTTTTCTAATGGAAAAGCTTAAAAGTGTTGAATTAATGCCAAAGAATTGATTTTGTGAGCCACAGCTGGAAAGGAGTATGACGATGCATAAGTGTAGGCTCTTTAGGTCTCTAGCAAGACTTCGTCGATTCAGAATGATTGGGATAAAACTACTAGCATAAATACATGACTGGTCTGAATTGTGGACCGTTATAAAGCATCCAATCTTATTTTTAAGTGTAAGAATTCAAACTTAGTTCCTGTTACAATTACATCCTTGAGAGTCTGCTTAAATAATTTATTTAGCGTGATTTGTAACGGCTATATGGAGTTCTTTTTGTGTAAATAGTCCTTCTGCTTTTTTTTAAATGCTGTATTATTCTACACAACTTTTTTTTTTTTTTGAGGAAGACTAGCCCTGAGCTAACTACTGCCAGTCCTCCTCTTTTTGCTTAGGAAGGCTGGCCCTGAGCTAACATCTGTGCCCATCTACCTCTACTTTATACGTGGGACGCCTACCACAGCATGGCTTTTGCCAAGCGGTACCATGTCCGCACCCAGTATCTGAACCGGTGAACCCCGGGCTGCCAAGAAGTGGAACGTGTGCACTTAACCGCTGTGCCACCAGGCTGGTCCCACTACACAACTTTAACATTCTCCTTGCCGAAGGCTAATATATCATTCATTTCTTTGGAAAATCCATTGCCTCATGAAGTAAAGATAAATTTAAAACTCTGCCCTAGCATTGACTGTTTCAGGTGAAAAATCTCACTATCTAAGATTGAGAAGAGCATATTTTGGCAACCAGAATTCATAAAAATCAGAATAAATGAGGTTTTTCTGTATTAGTCACAGCTTCTTTCCACAGGTCATTATCCTTGTCTCTAAGACTCTAGGTCTGCCTTGGAATCAGTTTCCAAAAGCCTTTAGCTCTGCAAACATCCAAAAGTCATGAAAAATTCTCATTAGCCCATTGGCAGTGTTCCTTGTAAACACCAGCTTCCACTCCTTCCCACAAGGCTGGGCTGAGAGAACTCAGGGAGCTGCCTCCAGCAAATACATACCCAGCATCCTCACCGCACACACGGCCCCATGAAAAACAAGCAAAAATGGGGCCGGCAGGAGAGGCAGACACAGAGATGTCTATCCATTTCGGGGACGCCTTTGGCCCATTCTGGATTCCTCTGCGGCAAGCACTGACTTGCAAGCATTGGAAGGAATTGGTTGTGAAGGTTTTACCAATTAGCAGGGAGCCGAGCCTCCTCCTCTTGGCTGCTCCATGTGGAGCTGGTTGCCCTGTGGTTCTGGATACTTTTTCTTTTTCTTTTTCTGTCGCACCTTCTGGGGAGGTGGGCCTAGTCTCTGCGCAGCTGACATGAGGCAGAGGGGGATGTACCCAACCATCTACAAGCAGCGTCCACTTAAGGTCTTCTAAACCACCTCTGACAAGCTTCAAGGGAGGCCCATGCCTATGGTGTGTATCAGTTTGAGTGAGTAAATTGACGTCCTTAGGGATTTTATCAACTTTGCTCATAGTTCCTCTTGACGTGAATCTCTCAAGGCCTAAAAGTCTTGATTACTCTGTTCTGTCCTCACAGGAATATCTCTTCATCCACTCCATGGGTTCAGCAGCTCTTTTCTGGACTTTGCAGCTCTATCCTGTCTGTTTTGAGAATTAATCGAGGGAGCAATATACTATAATGGATAACTTCAGGATCCTTGCAGTTTGCAAGTCCAGAGACCAAGCACAGGCTGCCGTGGAATTGCTCTGTGACCCGGGCCAATGTGCTTCACTTTCCTGAGCCTATTTCCTCATCAGGAAAATCAGAAGAGCAATAGCATACTCTTTATCAGGTTGTTATAAGGACTAAACAAATGAAGACTTGTACCTGTTAGAACAGGAGCGGGTCCATACAAACATCAGCATGATTATCTAGAAACACAAACATAACCAGATGATTGAGTTTTTCTCTTCTTTACATGAATGTTTGGCAACCACCATCTCTGCGTTTGATAGGAATACAATCCCAGGATTTTTCTGACCCTGAGTAAAGTGCAGTTGATTCCATCTAGCCTTAAAAAAAAAATTGTTCTAATGTGTTGACCTTGCATGTGCCATATGTAAGACCACATAATGCATCTTACTGGAAGCCACATTCATTATTTATCATTTGTTCAATGCCCACTCTTGACCGGGCACTATGTTAGGTAGTGATAGCTCAAAGAAGAACAAACCAAAGCCTTTATCCTCAGAAACCTTACAGTGTTCTTCCTAGTACGCGCATCGTTACTGTAAGCATTGCCCTCTGTATCAGTCAGTGTTTAAGTACTGTAACAAACAGTCCCAATGTCTCAGTGGCTCAATAAAGGTTTATTTCTTATTCACATTGTATTAGTTGTCTATTGCTTTGTAGCAAATGATCCCAAAACTTAGCAGTTTAAAACAACAAGCATTTATTATCTCACAGTTTCAGAGAGTTGAGGATCCAGGAGCAGCTTAGCTGGGTGGTTCTAGCGTGGTGTCTCTCACAAAGCTGTATTCGAACTACCTGCTGGAGTTACAGTCATTTGAAGGATCAGCTGGAGCTGGAGAATTCTTTTCCTAGTTCACTCATCTGATTTGTGAGGATTTGCAAGAAGGAGGTCTTCGTTCCTTCCAATGTGGGCCTCCCCACAGGCTGCCTAAGGGACCTCAAGACATGGCAGCTGGCTTCCCCCAGAGAAAGTGATGAGAAAGAGAAAGAGAATGAACAATAAAGCATCCAAGACAGAAGCTACAGTCTTTTATAACCTCATCTAAGAAGTGAAACACCATCACTTCCGCCGTATGCTATTGGTCCCGCAGACCGATGCTGGTACCATGGGGTAGCTGACTGTGCGAGGGTATGAATACCAGGAGATGCGACCAGTGGAGGCTGGCTACCATATGATGAACATGTGTCATAGTCTATTGTGAGTCATTGGTCAGAGGAGATGGATGGGGGCAGAGAGACTGCTCTATATGGTTTTTCCCAGGACCCAACCTCCTTCCATTCAGAGGCTCCTCCTTATGCCCTTGGCGCTCTCCACCTGATCCTCTGCATCATGCCAGGAGGTCAGGAGCAAGGAAAGAGCACCAGGGTAGGGGACTGCCCAGGAGATCCTAGTGGGCACGCTTGGACAGTGTGCATTACTTTGGCCCACATTCCATCAACCCGAAATCAGCTAATTGCAGGGGAGGCTGGGAAATGTGTTCTATCTGTGACCCCGGATTAAAACAGAATGGGACTTGGTGAGTGTATAGCAGATACTCTGCCACACCCTGTCTTTGAAAAGAGATTGTACATTTAAACAGCTTAATTTTTTGAAAAAGCAGTCTATTCAGTTTTAATACAACAAAAAATATGATTGCCTGTCACTATGCAATAAAGCAACTGATTGATTGCATATTTTCACCTTTTCAATGCATTGTAAATGCAGCCCCTGTTGAAGGGGCCCATAAGCAGGTGGTGGAGAGCAGTTCCTGAACCAGTAAGTCTGCTGCTTTTTCAGGAATACTATTAGGATGCTGGCAGAAACAAATCTTGCCTTGTTTCCCAAGAGGGGAAAGAAGAAAGTCTTTGTTCCCAAGCAAAGGAAAATACAAATCACAAGACTAAAATTATGAATGCAAAACAATATATTAAAATGTGGCTTGTGTATAGTATTTGCATGCATTTTAATATGCATCTGTCATTCCCTTTGCTAAATTCACCAGGCGCTGAAAATATTAAACAACCGAGTACAATTAATAATTAGAGGAATTGTTTTGGAATATATTTTAACCCATTAATGTTCCTATTGCCAAACCTCTTGGTATTTACGGGATTTGAGATGTCAAGTCAGATCTCAGATCTCTTAGGCCTAAGAAGATGTCACAAAAATATGTTTCGTAAACCAAGGTGATAACACTCAAATGATTGTAATATGACTAAAACCATTCCTAGGACAGAAAAATCACATCCACATTTGAAAGCTGGAAAAGGCTTTTGAGATTCTTTGGATTAGATATTCCCATCTCTCCTACTCATGCTGAAATCTAGCTGTATTTATTTCCCAAAAATCCATGAGAAATTTAAGACCACTTTTTCCAAAACCCCAATTTCCTGAGCCTTCTGCTCCAGTTATCTTTGCGGCTGAAGTTTTCAGAATCGGTTTTGCCCTTTGCTGGGGTTTATTTGCCTGGCTTTCTGTTAGAGCAGATCCCAAAAAGAGAAATCATTTTTAGGGCAGTTTTGCAAAAATGAACCAAATTTCAACCACACTTTAGAATGCTCGCTGTCTGCCCATTGAAGCTTCTGGACCAGAGAAGAAGAATATATTTCATGAGAACCCAGCTCTATGTCATAAACTTGAAATACATCAAGCTCTTTGTTGTTAATTGGCACTTACCTCACCTGAAGGCCTTTGCCAAGAAGAGCAGAGGGTTTTAATGGGGAAGGAAGAAAGGAAAGAGCCTGGAGCGCTGGAAAATAGTCCCAGCCACATGTGATTTTTAGCTGGGGGGGCTTTCCACCCCCTAGTATGCTAGGGCAACAAAGTGGCCTATGTGCTTTCTCAAACCTCGCTGTTTGTTTGGGGGGTAATGCTCAGACTGAGGCCGGAGTGATAGCTGCTTCGCGTAATTACGAAGACAGCTTGAAAACTATGCCTCTCTTTGTTTCGGCCTCCAGATGACGGCTGTCTAACCGCTGTTTGTGCCAGTTTTATTTCAAAGCGCTTTTCTTTCCATATTTCAAAGGTCAGTGTGTTTACTGGTAGCCAAAAAGAGCCTGTGTGTGAGAGAAAGAAACACATGTGTCTGAGTGGCAGAGCTAGATGAGGAGTCAGACCGGGATTCCAGTCCTAGATTGGCTCCTTGATAAGTGAGAGAACAGAAATTATTTGACCTCTCCTTCTTCATTACCATCGAAAGGAGAGCCAGTAAATGGTATCAATGGTCTCTTTTAGGTAAAAAAGAAAGAAAGAAATTCTAGAAGTCTGGGTCAGGAAGAAGAAATGTAGGTATTTCCAGTACAGAAACATTATCAAATAGGCAGCCAAGAAAATGTCCACTTCGTCTTCACAAAATGGAAATATTTCCCCCTTCAAAGAAAGTGGGCTGGATGTTCTGGCCACCCTTGGAAACCTTGAGATTGTTTTTGGTCAAGGAATATTAGCACAGGGAAATAAAGAAAACCCCAAACACTTTCTCAGGAGTCGCAGTTGGCTTTCTGACATCATTACTTAGAACATCAAAGGCTGCTCAGACTGCGTTACCTGCTCGTGCTCGTATACAAAACATTAGTGTTTCTATTATAAATATTTGAAAGCAGCATCAAATTTCAATTACATAAGATCAACATCTATTTCAAATATCCATCCTGATGAATTTTCTTAGCTGTGTTTTCTCCTATCTTCCCTCAATTTTCCATGTATTGCGCTCCTGGCGAAAGGAGATACATAGCTCCTGAAGTGGTAGAGAGCATATGTGGTATTCTGAAAGTGAGTTTAAATCTGGATTTTACCTGGGTTCAACTCTTAGTACTGCCACTTATTAGCTGTGTGACCTTGCATAATTTACTTAACCTCTCTGTGCCTCAGTTTCCTCGTGTACTAAGGCAAGTACTCAGTTCATAGTCTTGTGAGAATTAAGTGGATTGACATGTGTGGCACATGCAGAATAGCGCCTGGCACTTAGCAAGCATTCAAATGTTAGCTAATCATGAAAAACACCCCCTTTTCTGAAATGAATTCTACATTTGGAAACATCTTCTCTTTTGTGCCACCATTTCTCTTCTTAAATCAATCCACCTACACCTGTAGAAATAAAAAAGTAAAATTGCAAATGCCAAGGCACAGTGCCTGTGTTGTAAAATGGAGGAGAAAGTAAAACAGAAAAAAAGAGAACAAATGAAATGTTTGAAATGGAATCTTCCAGTTACTGTGAATTTCCAGCCCCCTGTGAAGTAAGGGTACTCTCTACCCTGAGTCTGCACATGACAAACAGAATTCTCACTCCTTGACCAGGAAAATACAATTCTTGGCTGTGACTCAAGAAGGAGTGGAGGGGGCAGGGATGAGGGGAGCCCAGGAAAGGGGAACGGAAGTGGATTGAAGACCTTGTCTAAGCCTTGTATTTTCGCGGCATTTAATCCATTAGCTGAATATTATTACCTCCCTTGTACAATCAAGAAAAACAGGTTCAGGGATGTTAAGTGACCTTTCAAAGTCTGTTCAGCCAGTCAGTGGTGTTTCTGGGATTGAAATCCACTTCCACTGGATGCCAAGATCTCTGCTTTTGTCTCCTTTCTCAGAAGGACCCGGCTAGGATGGGGTTCTGAGGCTCTTCCGGAGGTGCCGGCTGACCCCAGACTCCAGATGCCCCATTACTATATGCACCATATTAGTAGGAGGCTCTCGTATGTTTTCTAAGCCATTTCTACCCCGATTCAGGTGAAGTAGATTCTTGAGGGTCTTTGTCGTGACCCCTGTAAATTTAGGCATCAAGAAGAGAGGAACTTTTGGAAAGTAATTCCCTGTCACTGCCAAAGTCAGGGCTTCCTCCTGGGTCACAGCCTCTTCAGCAGTGTCCTGCTCTTCCTTTTCAATCTCCCCAGGATCTCTATAGAGTAGACACCAGGCATGACCTCCCATGGATGTTCACGGGAGACGGTGTCACGCACAGAATTTCTCCACCCGCATCCATTACATCAGAACCACTGAGTGAGATCCCTTGTTGTTGCACGGATGGCAATGTCTACCCAGTGCAGAGGAGCGTCTGTGTTACACAGAGTGATGGCAGACAGGTTAAGATAAGACACTGCTGAGAGGCTGGTGGTCAACCCTGGGATCAGTAACCACCTGAAGTCGCGGCTTCCAGAAGGCTGCCTGGATCTGGATAGTGAAGGTTCCAGAAATGAAGCACCCAGCAATAGGAGTGGCTGCAGCGGCAGCAGCAAACTTCAGCACACCTCACTGGCCAGTATTCCTGGGGAATTTGACGCTGACTTCTGTTGGGTTTTCAATGGCAGCAATGGCATGAGCTGCCACCAGAAGCTTCTCTCAGGTTGTCGTCAGATTTATGATGCAGAAGTCATCACTTTCCCTTCGTAGATGTACTGTTCCACTTGGAAGTCAAGGTTGGTGCCACCTAAGTGGGTTTCTGCTATAAGGAGTTTGAGGACCTCCTCCTCCTTCATTTGTAGGACATCAAGGGCTCTGGACATGTGAAAGTTACCTCTAAGTTATGATGATAACCCAGAACACCACCGTATGGACCCCTCTCTGGGTAGTGCAGGAAAGCACAAAACTTCCTCCTGGGGATAAAGAGAGCTTGGGCACACAATTTCCATCTTGGTCATGACCTTGACCCTCCTTCCTTCATG